AAACAAAGGCGTTCCACACCAGGGAATTCCAAAAACAACATCCCTTCAAAAACAATGGATTACGTTGGGAAACAAGAAGAGGAGAACGTCCTGACAGGTGCACGAATTGGGCGCACCAAGGACCAGGACATGAAAAGCACCGTTTGATATTGCCAGGGATTGAAAACGGAAAGGAATGCGGAAAACAACTGACGGAAACTATAGACTACAATGGCTGTAAAATGATATAAAAAGGAGGTTTTTCAGATGCAAGATGTGTCAGAATCAGTGCTGCATCTCTGATCAATTCTTTGAGAGGAAGTTCTAGGATAATTCTCTGATTCAGAGGCTAGATGGCCATCTGTTGGGAGCGATTTGATGGTGTCTTCCTGCCTGGCAGAATGGGGTTCGTCTGGATGACCCTTGGTAATTGTCTGTAAGCATGGGACGGATGAGTGAGAGAGGGACTGCTCCCTTGGTCCCAAATGGCTGCATGCTTTTAAATGCTGAATAAACGCTACATGAAAGGCGTTTAAGCCCAGATCTGGTATCTTTGGAAGATTATTTCGAGTATATAGTTTCCAGTATGTAGAAGTATATGAGAAGCAGCTCAGCCTGTCATTAAACATCAAAAAAACCAAAGTGCTCTTCCAGCAGTCACCAGCCAATCCCTCTCCAATGCCAGAAATACAGCTTAATGGTGACACATTAGAAAATGTTGACCATTTCTGCTCCCTTGGCAGACACCTCTCCACTAAAGCCAACATTGACACCGAAATACAACACCGCCTGAGCTCTGCGAGTGCAGCATTTTTCCGAATGAAGCTGAGAGAGTTTGAGGACCGGGACATCCGTAGGGAGACCAAAGTGCTTGTTTAAAAAGCCATTCCCCTCCCAACCCTGCTATACGCCTGCGAAACGTGGACTGTCTACAGACGTCAATACTGAGACTGAAATACAACACCGCCTGAGCTCTGCGAGTGCAGCATTTTTCCGAATGAAGCTGAGAGAGTTTGAGGACCGGGACATCCGTAGGGAGACCAAAGTGCTTGTTTATAAAGCCATTCCCCTCCCAACCCTATTGTACGCCTATGTGACGTGGACTGACTACAGATGTCAATATTGAGACTGAAATACAACACCGCCTGAGCTCTGCGAGTGCAGCAATTTTTTGAATAAAGTTGAGAGTGTTTGAGGACCGGGACATCCGTAGGGAGATCAAGGGGCTTGTTTATAAAGCCATTGTCCCCCCAACCCTGCTATACGCCTGCGAAACGTGGACTATCTACAGATGTCAATATTGAGACTGAAATAAAATACTGCCTGAGCTCTGCAAGCGTAGCATTTTTCCAAATGAAGCAGAGAGTGTTTGAGGACCGGGACATCCGTAGGGATACGAAGGTGCTTGTTTATAAAGCCATTGTCCTCCCAACCCTGCTCTACGCCTGAGAAACATGGACAGTCTACATATGTCACATGCAACTCCTGGAGCGATTCCATCAACGCTGCCTCCGGAAAATCCTGCAAATCTCTTGGGAAGACAAGCGGAGAAAGGTCAGCGTGCTCAAAGAAGCAAAGACCACCAGCACTGAAGCGATGCTCCTCCGCCATCAACTCCGCTGGACCGGCCACGTTGTCCGGATGCCCAAAGACCACCGTCTCCCAAACTCCGAACTCAAGAACGGAAAACAGAATGTTGGTGGACAGGAAAAGAGATTTAAAGATGGGCTCAAAGCCAACCTTAAAAACTCTGGCATAGACACCGAGAACTGGGAAGCCCTGGCCCTTGAGCGTTCCAGCTGGAGGTCAGCTGTGACCAGCAGTGCTGCAGAATTTGAAGAGGCACAAATGGAGAGCGAAAGAGAGAAATGTGCCAAGAGGAAGGTGCATCAAGCCAACTCTGACCAGAACCACCTTTTGTCTGGAAACCAATGTCCTCACTGCGGGAGACGATGCAGGTCAAGAACAGGGCTCCACAGCCACAAACGGACCCACCAGCAAGACACTCATCTTGGAAGACAATCCTACTTGGACAACGAGGGATCGCCTAAGTAAATAAGTGCCCTGAATCGCCTGCGGGCTGATATGGGCGGGATATAAATAATGTAAATAAATAAATAAATAAATATGGAAAACAGGAGAGCTGGTCCTTGGCATTGTAAGTAAGTAGGTAAGAAAGTAGCTGCAGATTATTCGCTTTCTCCTCTTCTCTACATAAAAGCGCCAAAGGTGACACTCTTTGTAGTTCCCTTGGGCAGAGGAAGGAGACTATCTCACCAGGTTGTGGACCAGGTTCTGGCACAGCTGGTTGAGAGTCAGCTGCATTAAAATCACCAAAAGGTCATGTGTTCAAACACAGCCCAGGCCAGAGTAAGCTCCTGACCATTTGCCTAGCTTGTTGTCGACCTTTGAAGCCCGAAAGACAGTTGCATCTGTCAAGTAGAAAATTTAGGTGGGGAGGGTAATTTAACTAATTTACGACCACTTATATGTGGAGGGTAATTTAACTCATTTAC